TAACAGAACCTAAAAGCCGTAAGGAAGACACTCAAAAGGTGTAATATACACATGCATATTTATTTAAAGCCCCAGAAGGAGATGATGGAAATAATGGAGCAGAGGCAGTGTTCAAAGTGATAGAGTCTGAGACCTTTCCAAAACCAATGACAAACATCAACTCACAGATTCAAGAAGTCAAGTGAAATCAAAGCAGAGAGAATACAAATGAAAATACATCAGTCATATTACAGACAAACTGCTAAGTGCCAAAGAGAGAAACTTCTCAAAAACAGCAAGCAATTAGTGGGAAAAGTAGGAAGAACAAAACTAACAGCTGATAGAAGTGGAAATATAAATGCCACCACACCCCTGACCTCTGGCGGAATCGTATTCAGTAAGGTTTCTCAGAGGATCTCTAGAAGGATTGTACAAAGTTGCATACAGCATAATTCACACAGTATTGTATCCTTCATTGGCTTGTCTTTCTTCTCTGTATCCTTTTCCCTTATTCATGTTTCCTAGAATCATCACTAAAATAAACTCCTGCAACCATGTCTTTGTCTCAATATCAACTTTGAAGAAACTCAAACTAACGTATTTGGTAACAAAATTGGCTCTAAAATAAAATAAACAGATCTTCACTATAGAGTTCTGAAATTGATTGCTTGCTGTTCAGATGGTAACAAGGACACTGCTGGAGATGAGTGGGCAGTAGTAACACCTAGTGTGTGTAGCTTCACAATCAATAAGACTCTCCATTATAGTGGATTGGAGATGGATAGAGATAGAAGGAAAAACACCAGATTATGCAATACCTCTATCACTGAAAAAATAAAAGTTAAGTCTAAGAATCATGAATTTAGTTTGCTTTTGCTCTCTTTCTTATACATACTGAAGGACAATGACAGACTCAGCTCAGGCAGCTATTCACTGACAGTACCCTGTGAAAGCCAAATGGCTCCACATAACCACTTAAAACAATCGGCCAAAGTGTAGTTTGTCCTGAAAATCAGACACATAATCTGATCACATGAATTTGAGGAACATAGCCCTAGAAGGTATCCTATTCTGAATTCAGGGTTCTGCTAAGGAAAGCGTGGAAATGTGAGACCTGTTATTGGGATATTTGGATGAAGTAATTTGAATCCGCAGAATCTTTTAAATCTTACAGATGGATGGAAGCATCGCACTTCCCTTTGGCAGAGAAGAGAGAGCACCCACTGCCTGATTACTGTGAAAAGGTTTTGTGATATATTTAGCATTTGGCTACAGCTTATTTCTCTCTCTGATTCTGCATCCTTGCAATGTAAGTGGATCTCCTTCCATTAAGAAGTGAAATTTTCACCCCAGAGTATGGATAGACTGTAAGTCTTGCTTTTGCCAATAGGGCAATGGCAAATTTGACTCAAGCAAGGATTTGAAAAGTGCTTGTTTTCTTGCTGTTCTTGGAGCACTGGAAACATGTGAACAAGCCTAGGCCAGCCTGTTGTATAATGAAAGACACATGATCCTGTCTCCCTCCAATGCTTCAGTTAAAAAGCAGCCAGTCTCCAGAAGTACAGCTGCCCAGTTGATGGGCTGCTGACTGCAGACACATTTGTAAACGTACTCAAAACCACTAAAAGATTTACCCAGCTGAGCTGAATCTAACTGCTAACCCATAGCAAAGTAAAGCAAGCAAGTGATTGCTGTTGTTGTTTTCTAAACACTAAGTTTGGAGGTGCTTTGTTATGTAGCATTAGATAATTGATAAAACCCTCTTCTGAGGTGGATGACAAGATGATGTTTGCCTTCTTCAAAATTCCTGCCTCACTCATTCTCTAGACTAATAATTTGGAATAGCTTTCAGTATAGCCCCAACAGGAAACAATAGTCTTGGCTACGGGAATATTTACCTTATTCATCAAAAGGGGAGTGAGACTTGGCTAACACATGCCACTAATAACTGAAGGAATACAAATACAAGTGGATCCTCATGATGTTGGACAAGGAAAATATGGAACATAAGACTGGATAGGGTAAAATTGTTTGACCCGGGAGCACTCTCATAAGACTCAGGAGACAGGAACACCTAGAATCAGTTCTCATACACTGCTGGGATCATCAATAAGCTTGGATATGATGGTAGCCTACAGTAAATGAAATGCAGATGCTAGAACACCTTAGCAAAATATCAAGGAAGAGGTCAGAATCTCAGGGGTGTGGCCATGTTACAATAGGTTTATTCTATGAGATCAGAGAACACACTAGCTAACAGTTTTCCCCAAGAAGGGACAGAAGACACTCCCTTCAGTAGAGCAATAAACACACCAGTAAGGAGGACAAGAGAATTCCTGAGAAGTTGAATAACGGCTCTCCTCCCTATGACAGAATTGACAGAAAGTGTTAACATGGAGCATGGCTTCCTGACATCATCAGAGATAAAATTTCCGGATTATTCAGAGGCCCAGGTGGTGGCACTTAACCTTCAGAAGGAATGTAAATAAAAATACAAAATACCAAAATGTGCAGCAAGGCCAGAACTCCTATAGGGATCTGTTGAAATGGCTAATTTACCATGGAGTTTCTAGGGCTGAGATAGATGGGTAGCCAAAGAGGGTATTGCTTAAATTATATAACGAAAAAAATCAGAAATTATCAGTGAAAACCTGATGGTGCTTTTGCAATAAACAATCAAGATCCCTCACCCACTTTTTTTTTTTTTAAAGATTTTATTTTTTCCTTTTTCTCCCCAAAGCCCCCCCAGTACATAGTTGTATATTCTTCGTTGTGGGTCCTTCTAGTTGTGGCATGTGGGACGCCGCCTCAGCGTGGTTTGATGAGCAGTGTCATGTCGGCGCCCAGGATTCGAACCAAGGAAACACTGGGCCGCCTGCAGCGGAATGCGCGAACTTAACCACTCGGCCACGGGGCCAGCCCCCCTCACCCACTTTTAACACTTGAGTCAGTGTGCAAGCGTGCAGCAGCAAGCCAACACACAATGGAAATGTTTTCTTTTGGATTAGGCTCAAGCAGAGCCAGAGAACCCAAGCAACAGGGATGATCAGCCCAAATCCCCATGTCCTCCTCCTTGGTTTCAGTTTCCTTTCACTCAGCTCATACTACTCTCCTGCTGGGGTGGAAAACACTTGAACCTGGCTCAAGGATAAAATCGTGATACATTGTGATGAGCTGAAAATGGAGTATGTATACCGCCAACAATCTATCTTATAATGTAAAACCCCAAGAGTAACTCTAAAGAACAGTGGTGAGAAAATCCTTCTAGTGGGCAGATCATTAAGCAATCCACTTGCTCATCTTTTTTGAATGGAGTTAGAAGCACAAAGACAAGAATATAACAGACTCTTTGGAAGTGATGAATGCTCACTCTGATAATATTGCTAGTACAATTTAAAATAATGCATAAAAATAAAATACAGTTATTATTCATAGATAGAACCATACATAGTGGGTAGCAGGTCTCAAAGGGCTTTTATATAGAAGTGGAGAATTAAGCAGATAAAGAATAAACAATTGAACTGGGTACTAAAACATTAAACCAGGAATAAATATTTAGGAACTTCTTGTTGCTGTCAACATGCTCTACCTCCCACTGAGTTTTATTTTAATATGGCAAATAACGTACTAGGTATTTTCATAGCTCATTTCATCTGTCCTTTTACTGCCAGAAAGGAAATCCCACAACAGAGTTCTCAAACCTGTTTGCACTAGACTTACCTGTTTTATTTTGTTCTCATGAAAGATACTAGGATCTCACCTCTACAGAGTTCTGGAGCTCAAGGGAATACTAATCTGCAGCCAGAATTCAAAAGCATTGACAATGGAAAGTAGGGAAAGATAATCACAAAAAAAACAGAACTGATCAAGAAACTTTATGGAAACTGAACTGGGAAAGAAAGGGCAAGACACACATTCAGAGAGGTAACCACCACCAATCATTTCCAAAGTTGGGCTGGAATGGCTTGAAGAACTAGCATGCCCTTATTGTAAATAGCCTGTCCCTATGAAATCTTCACTCCTCTTTCTTCACCAGTCCAAATGACCTGACAGTTCAAGTCTCAATAAAATGTCACCTCAGGGTAAAACTGTACCTGACCATCATTAGGCAGAATTATTTTTCTTCCTTCTGTGCTCCAACACTTGTTATGGCAACTATCACCATCTGATTTGATTAACACTAAACTGAACACGTGTCTGTCTCTACCCTGTATAGACATGGTCATTATCTTACTCACTTTTACATTTTGCCAATACAGGATATTACAGTGACTGGCACAAGGTAGGCATCAGCGTACGCACATTAGCTTAATATGAATCTGTCTCTCAGTACAAACATTAGGATTGAGAAGTGGGATATGAAAGCATGTAAGAATTTGAACTCCAGAGTCAGAGAAGAAAGACATTTCAACCTTCTCTTCCCCACTTAGTAGTTATAGTTTCCCCACTTGTAAAATGTGATAATCATAGTGCCTAATCCAAGATGGTTAAAATTGGGGAACTAAATGGCATAATACATTTAAAGTGTTAAGAAAGTAGAATAAAATATTAAGCTTTATGGGGAAATCACCATGATTGTACCTTTATTATAGTTAATTGCATATATGTACAACTAAACACAACATGGAAAAGTGAATTCTATAAGAGCATGGAATCAATAACTCCTCTGTCTGACACAGCATCTGGCAAACTGGGGAAACTAATAAATTCTGATTGAGTTCTATGTTAAAAAATATTCATACTTTCATTAGAATAACAGCAAGTAAGTGAAGTTTTAATTGACATCGCTTCTATCTAGCTGAGATTACCCTACACAGCATCAGGGATTTTTTACAACATTTATAACACAATGCACATCCTTCATGAAATACATTGATTACATATGTTGTCAGATTTGGGAGTTTAAGAGAATGATTTCTAGTTTACTTTTCTCTAACTCCTAAGTAAATGTGATAGAGGATGATATTGCTCCATAAACACAAGGGTTCTCCAGACTGTAGCATCAAAATATGGATGTAGCATTAAAGTCCCTGTGAAGAGAAAGTGTGAATTCCAAAAAGCCTTCTCAGTGCAGTCTTCATATCCTTGTTCCTGAGGCTGTAAATGAAGGGGTTCAGCATAGGAGTCACAACTGTGTAAAATACAGCTGCAATTGTGTACTGACCCCGTGACTGTGATGGAGAACGGCACAAATAGACACCGATTGCTGCACCATAGAACAAGAAGACCACAGTGAGGTGAGACCCACAGGTGGAGAAGGACTTTTGCCTGCCAGAGGCAGAGGGGACTCTGAGGATGGTGGAGAAGATGTATGCATACGATAAGGTGATGAGGGAGAGAGGACCAGTAAGTACTATGGAGCCCACAGTGAACAGGGCTACCTGATTGGTGCAGGTGTCTGAGCAGGAGAGCTGCAGCAGAGGGATCACATCACAGAAGAAGTGATGGATGGTGTTTCCTGCACAGAAAGAGAGCCTTGCCATTAGCAGGGTATGTAAGAGGGCAGCAAGGTTGGTGAGAACCCAGGATGCTGTGAGCAGGAGCACACACACAAGAGGACTCATGAGTGTGGAGTAGTGAAGAGGCTTACAGATGGCCACATAGCGGTCATAGGCCATCACCCCCAAAAGGAAGTCATCCAGTCCTCCAAACATCATGAAAAAGTACATCTGGGCCAAACACTCCCCATATGATATGGTCTGATTATGTGTCCGGATGTTCACCAGCATCCTGGGGACTATGGTAGAAGAAAAGCAGCCATCAGCAAAAGAGAGGTTGGCCAGGAAGAAGTACATGGGGGTGTGGAGGTGTGGGTCAAAGCCAATGGCCAAGATGATGAGCAGGTTTCCCACGACAGTGACCAGGTACATGCCCAGGAAGATGCCAAATAGGAGTGGCTGCTGCTCTGGCCTCTCAGAAAGACCCAAGAGGAGGAATCCAGTGACACTGGACTGGTTGATTCTGTCCATGCCAACACTCTGGGGGGAAAGAAGAGAGACAGGTCAAAAATTGTAGAAAAGGTGGTACTTTTAGCCCTCTCTAAAAGAGACACCTCTCATCTAATTCACATATGTGTATATCCCAACTCACTGGATCTTCCCTCCAAGGTCTGCCCATTGTTACTTTACCTGGAAAAGGAGAGAAGCAAGCAGAGAGATTAAAATGAAAACGCAAGATGATAAGTACTGGTTTGAGAAGTGAGTTCCAGGTTACTTCCATCCTTGCTATATATTCACCAAGATTCACATTCCTTGGCTTCTAGGTCCTCAGCTCATCTAATGTCCAAGCAATAAGAGCTGCCACGTTGAACCCAAAGCACTATACAATGCAGAATCTAATTAAATACTCATAAATTTTATTACATACATTTCATAAATGAGTTTTCAAAACTCAGTGAAGTCGCCTGCGCAATATTGCAAAGAAGATAGTAATTGCAAACCGAGACTCTTGTTACCACTTCCCATGTCCTTCAATACCATGTATCATAGCCACCTTCTGAACTTAACCTCTCTTCTGCAGGAGGCAGATATAGATGACTCACCTTGTAAGGGAGTAGTTCCCACTACTCATCTCAGGATGGTCTGAAAGACAGAAGGCAGAGAAGCTGACTGGAATCTTTGGAAGTATTGGAAGGAAAACATAACCCTGCAGCTTTCTCATAGCTCTCACCATATTTATCTGGCCCAAGTAGCATTTATTATCAGAGAAACTCACCCTGTTCCTACAGCTCTCCCTTGTAGTCTCAGAGGGCCATGCTTCAAGTGCTCAGGGATCTTCTTAGCCTATCACAAATGAGCAGGGCAAGAGGGCCCGGGGATGCTGGTTGTATTGGGCCAAACTAGAAAGCATCAACCTAAATTACAGTGATGGATGTTAACTGCGCTTTACACATGTTGTCACGGAAGTATTTCTAGGTTCTGGGCCTCTGGGGTATGATTCTCTTAGGTGATCCTCAGACACAAACATGAAGTAATTGCTCTAGCTTCATACTTTGGCTTTCTAGGCCAGCACTCACCTAGGAGCACCAAGGAGGAGGGAGTGCAGTGTATTGGTAGTTTTGCACTTGATAAGGTTTGTCCCCAGAGATATGTGTGTATCTCTATTCTTAGTGTGGTAGTTGAGCTGAGGTATCCCCTGGGACAGCTAGAAACGGTGGCAGAAGGGAGTCAGAACAGGAGGTGGAGTACAGCCAATTTTGATTCCAAACCTGGCTAAAAAATTTCCTGGCCTCACTACCTTGGTACAGGTTGTTTGACTTCTATGAGAATTTGGGTTTCAAGTTGTTGCTAGGAGGGTGATTAGCTTACACTGCTGCCTCCCACACACCACAATAATCCTTGAGAACTGAGACAAACAAAAAGTCTAGGAAATCAACAGTAATAATAAAAAGTGAGAAACCCATGGGGATAAGGAAGACAGTTATGAGCTGGAATGTCATGTGGGTGGGGGCAGAAAGCTAGGTTGAGACTTGACATCTGGAGGAGGTTTATTGCTTGTCTGTGAGAAGATATCAGGAAAAAAGTGAATTCAAGTCTGCACTTGCCTCTATTCTGTTTACATTTCTACACAGAAGTACTTCTGGATAGTGAAATCGAGGAAAGGTGATGTTGAGCATTTAGCTGAGTCATTCACTTTTCAGCTCTTTCCACCAAAACCCCAGGGTTGAGGTATTACTATAAGAATGCTTCTTTCAAATCATTTCTGTCTCATCCTAGTGGTTTGAAGATAAAGACATGACACAAAATGTTGGCAAATGGAATGCTAAAAAGTGGGAGAAAATAACTGTAATTCATGGTAAATGTAGCCTTCCCACTTAGGGCTCATCTCATCTTCTCCTTAAACTCCCAGGACTGACGTGACTCTTAGTTCATCCCTTCTGTGTATTGCCAGAAATAACATCTGATACTATAAGGAGAATGTGTATTCACAGGACAATAATAATGCAACTATCTCAAAAAGCAAAACAAGAAAGTACACAATGTAGAGTATGAACACAGAAGACATATAATTTAGAATGCATAAAATATAATGAAATAAATGAAGTTATGATCAATAGAAAATCAGAAATGCAGAAAACCATTAATATTAGGTTAGAAAAAATATTACTAAACCAAATAAAGCAATTGATTTAAGATATATCTGAAAACAAGCAATGTATGCTTAAAAAATGAGGAGTTGCAAGATCAGATTATAGAGGCCCCTAGGTGAAATAACTTAGAAATGACAAATAATTAGAAAATAAAAAGTTAAGAGATAAAGTGGATTGAAATAGAATTGTCAAACACCAAGCAATAGAATGTAAGTCAGAAAACAATGTTGGAATAGGGACCACAGGGCCTATCCCTCTGCAGAAACACTGAAAAACATAGCAAAAGTGTCAGAATCAACCTGGAAGGTAGTAAAAGGTTTACAGAAACTTCGTAGCATTTTATCATAGCTTTGCCCCACCCACCTCCCTGGTGAGATGGCAGTCTTGAAGATGGCAGCCCATGTTCCTATTGTGGGTACCTCATCCCAGAGGGAGTAGAGCATACCTTGTTCTCAAAGAATTGTGTTTATCTGCTTTGACCTTTCTTTGGGTTCCCTGAGGAGCTAATGCAAGGGCCTGCCTTTGTCTCACCTAACTCAGAATTTTCTCAGAGCATAGAAGGAGCTATGTAGAAGGAGTTCCTTGAAAACATTGAAAGCCAAGTAAACAAGCCACTGCCACTTGGGACAAAAAATAGCATTTAGGGAAAAGAATAGTCATGCTGAAAGTCAGGAAGAAAAGCTAAGAGTGAGAATCTTTTGGTAATAAAGGCTTTGAAAAGCTCCCATATATACTGGGAAACCAAGAAAGCCACATGTATGTCTAGAGAAGGACAGATGCTCAGAAAAGACCTGAGAAGATCATAAATTCTCACCTACGGCTGATCTTTAGATTAAGTGCAAGCAAGGAGTAAAGGCTAAGATGGAGTTATAAATGCTGTGGCTAGACATTGAGGGCCTCAACACAAAGTCAATCTGCAAAAACCTAGAGATACTTTTCTTTCCTTTCTTCCTTTTAAAAGTATTTATTTATTTATTTTGGCTGCAGGCATTTAAGGAAATCTCAGTAAGACAACTAGCTAACAACTAAGCTAAAGAAAGAGAGAATTCAGAGACTAACAATCTTATCAAAAATAGTTTACAAAAGTCACCAGACAAATACAACCCATAGAAAATGACAATGACAAATCCTTGAAAAAGAGGAGAATTTGGTATTCAGAGTTACCACATAATAGTATTCAAAGTATCCAGTTTACAACAAAAAATTACAAAGCATGCAAAGAACCAAAATGTATTTCCCATTCACAGGAAAAAAGAAATTAACAGAAACTATCCTTAAGCTAAGTACAGACATTGTAGTTACTACACAAAGACTTTAAATCAACAGTCTTTAAATATACTCAAAAAGCTAAAGGAATGCACGGGAGAAATATCTCAACAAATAGAGAATATCTAATAAATGATAGAAGCTTAAAAAGTAAGTAAATAGAAATGCTGGACCTGAAATGCACAATTGAAATGATAACTTCACTAGAGGGGTTCAACATCAGATTTAAGCAGGCAGAAGAACGAATCAGCAAAGTTGAAGACAGACCAAATGAAATCATTCAGTCTGAGAAACAGAAAGAGGAAAGAGGAAAAAACAGAGCCTAAGAGACCTGTAGGACACCATCAAGCATAGCTACATTATGCATATTGGGAGTCCAAGAGTGAGAGAAGACAGAGAAAGAGGCAGAAAGAATATATGAAGAAACAATGTTCAAAAACTTCCCAAATTCAATAAAAGTCACAAATCTACACATCCAAGAAACTTAATGATTTCCAAGTGGAAAAATTCAAAGACACACATTGTAATCAAACCGTTGAAATGCAAAGAGCATCTTGAAAGCAGCAAGAGAGAAGCTAGTCTTCATGTACAAGGGAGCCTTAAGTAAGAGTAACAGTTGATTTCTCATCAGAAACCACAGAGGTCAGAAGGCAGTGAGATGAGATATTGAAAGTGCTGAAAGAGAAAACTTGTCAACCAAGAATTCCATATCTGGCAAAAAAACTTTCCAGTCTTCTTATCGTTTATCAAGAATCTTCTAGGTGGTTATTTTTTCTGATATATATTTGGAGGTCTCTGAATATGGAGGTGGAAATTATTTAGTTGCTACATATTTGCTTCACATGGGTCGCCAAAAGCTGATTTAACATAGGTAGAATGTTCTAGTGTTAGGAGGAATATTTCTTCCCAGGCTTGATCTGTACTTCTAAGTGGAGGAAATTCAATTAGTGTGACAACTGTCCTGGTTTGCTCCCTTACTCTGCCAAGAACACCTAATTGACTAATTTGGGCACACTCATCCCAGACCCTCCCTGTGTCTTCTTGAGAACTGGCTTGCTTACAGGGAGCTCTGCTGTGCACATCCAAGAGCAAAGCAGCCTCTCACATCTGGGATGCCCTCCCTAATTCAGCACTACCTGTTTCTGGAGCTGGTTAGAAAAGCACTGAGGTTCTCACCCCAAGTCATGCCTCCAACTTAGACATTATCAAGAGGAAAGTGGCAGTTTGGTCCCCATCTGTCTTTGTCCTTGTCTTATTTATTGATTGGTTATGAACTCAACCATGAAAGCAGGGTTGTTCATTGGGCTCCCTGAGACACTCCCAACAATCTGAAAATCACAGCTCCATCACTTAGGAGCTGGGTTATACGAGAGTAGGTTATTTAACCTCTCTGAGTCTCCTTCTCTGTAATAAGAAAGTAATAATATAAATTTTTGTAATTTCAAAAATACTTAAATAACTGAGAGAACATAATTAAGGTGCTCGTGAAGACACCTGGCATGTGGGAGGGACTCAAAAAATAACGCTGCTCTTGTTGCTGCCATTCTTCACATCACCATTTTTGTCATTCTTGTGGGTCTTGTTGGCTTAACCCCTTGCCTGCTGATTAATAAG